GTTCTTATAATACTGTTTGCAAATCTTGCGGTAATTAACTTTTTCGTAAATAAGCAAAATTAAGCGTTTGATGGAATGAGTTACAAAACTGACCTACAAAACTGATTACACAAATAGTATCATACATATACGCGCGCATGCGTTTGTGTGTGTGTGTGTGTGTGTGTAATATATATATATATATATATATATATATATACATATAAACATAATACAAATTATATATATATATATTATTTGTCTATTATAAAAATTATAAATATATAAAGTATATAAAAAGCAAATACTTTTCAATTGATCAATAAACTTAAAAATTGTTAGAATAAAGGAATTTCATTAGAAAAATGTAGCCAGATATGCTCTATATATTTATAATTTTTGTGATAATGACAAATAATAAATGACAATAATTGAATCTTCGCGTTATCAATCTATGTGATCTGAAGAAATCAACGAGCTTCTATATTCCATAATAACAACAGGAAACTATATCGCGTCTCGCTAATAAACGATAAACCTTGACGTTCTTCTTCTCTTTGTGCCGAGATACGCGATGATGTTCATCAGAATCGTTAGAAGCAACAGTCCAATTATGTCCCGCCAGAAATTTTCTTCATTATATCCGTATTCCGATAAAACCTCTGTTCCGTTTGACAAACAAGACAGATTACGATTGATTGGACAATCTGAAGAAAGAGAAATAGGATGTTACATTGACAACGAGAAAACTATTCGGATTAAACCGATAAAAGATTCGACAAAAATGATATTTGGATGAGACTAGACAGAATTTAATAATAATAATAATAATAATTTGAATTATTATGCGAAAAAATTAACAACTGAATTTACATGCACATATTTTCTGGTTATCATACAATTCTGTTTGGTCTTATCAAAATCCCATTTTTGTTAGATTCTTTTGTTGCTTTAATGAGAACAATTTTTTCAATGTAACAAGGCTGAGCAGTTTGGAGATTTTGTTTCTCACCAATATCCTCTATCCCCGACCAGTGTACTATCGATATGGCTTCGGTGGCGTAATAAAATATGGAAGTATATTTGAAATACGCCAAGTAGCTTGGAAGAGTGCTGCGAGAGTTAACTTTTAATGTGCGCGATGAAATTCTATTTGTCATAATATTGACAACGATTGTACTTACCGCAAATTGTAAAATGTACCCGCCGTTAAAAGGAACAACAAGTCAAGCACTAACATTATCGAGGTGATGATGTCGATGTTTTCGATCCAGCTAGAGATTGCCATACCATAGGCATTACCACTGATAGCCGCTGCCGTCGTGCAGAGACAATAGGAACAAAAGCTGAGCAGCGAAAATTCAGAATGCAGCGCGAAATACAGGGCAACCGTGAATAAAAGCGCCTTGAATACCGTCCTGGGTATCTGAAGAATCCCCCGAAAAAAAATGAAAAAATCGTAATAACGTTACGAACGTGCTGCTTTTCCAGCGTACGTTTCGAATAATTACCAAGGCGAGAACGGTGGCGAGATAATAAGGTCCCGACGTGTACACGTTGCTTTCGCGCACGTAGAGAACAAGCTCGCCAGGTAGTTCGTAAACGACGGAGTAAGCCATTGTAAGAATTATTTCAGAGATCGTGAAGTACAATATGCCTCGAGCACTCTGTATCCCTTCTTGTGTCAACGAATTAATGCCAATGTAAAAAATATTTACGAAGACGATGGAAAGCTATGAAAGATCACAGTTCTTTTTACATTATAATATTTGCCTTGTATTTGAAAATATTTCTCGTTCCAATTGTCTCTGACCAAACCTCCAATTAACTTGTCAAGTATTAAATATTATTAATGTAGACAGAAATTATTAGTTAATGTTGATCGTATGAGAAGAAAACAGTAGATTAGAAATTAATTAAACGAATTATATAGTTAGAAATTTTACCGCAAGCAATTCTATCGGTTGAGTTAATCGCCGATTAAATTAATCGGAGTTTGATCGAAGTGTCACTTCAAGTTCTTTTTCTAGCTTGTTACCACGCAAGAGAACCACGCGATCCAATTGTCAAAAATCGTTCTTCTATTCTGCAGGAATATTCTCCAGAGCAACCAATAAAACTGTACGAACCATCCTGATTTTCTACAATATAGATTATTAAATTTTGTGAATGTTATTTGCTAAAATTTATTCGACAAATTTTGCTGCTATCTTGTTTCAATACTTTTGATGACTAGCGTGAAAAACCGAGACGTTTTCGATCGCGGGAATCTTTGACAATGGTGATCGTGAAAACGCTCGGCACAGCTCAATATTGCGATCTGCTCGGCGTGACAGAATGTTTACGAAATATTCGGACTCGTCGTAGTTTGTAGGGCACCGATAATTCTGGCTACGCATAAAAAATATATCACTGTTTTGTCGTTTGACGAATCTTAATACGAATGTCAGAATATCTGATTAATTTTACTTCTCAAAAAAATCCGTGGCGTTCCTCAGAGTCCCAAAGTATACGGATCTACCATCGGCCATCAATATCACATGGCTGAATATATTGTATATCGTCATACCTGGTTGATGAATTGTGCAGAAGACCATAGTGCCTCTCGAGGCGATTAATTTCAATGATTGCACAACGTGCATCGCGGCAAAAGTGTCTAGACCTACGTTCGAATATTAATATAAATTTATTAAATATAAAAATTTTATTAATATAAATATTAATTCGTTATAATATTTATTAATATAAATATTAAAATAATTAATATTGATATAAATACTAATATAAATATAAATTTGTTTATACAATATTTATTTATAATATTACATTGATTAATTATCAATGTAACGATCGTGTGATTTTATTCACGACAGGCAGAATTCATATAATAAAAATTATTTAATAAAAATTATTACTGTAGATAGATCTACGTTCGATATCGCGGTACTCTCGGAAATTAACGATCGATCAACGCGACAAGATCTTTTCTTCGCGTAAGATCGATTTCGACAAATTAATTCTTACCCCTGGTTGGCTCATCTAAAAAAAATATCTTCGGTCTCGTCACCAATTCCGCGGCTAGCGACAAGCGCTTTCTTTCGCCGCCAGATAATTCAGATATAGTGGTATCGATGCACTTATACAATCCCAAATCCCGCAAAAGTTCCTCTCCTAAGAATTTTCTACGTAGCACATTACAATTATTTCCTATTTTCAAGGCGCACTAAAAGGAATAGACGTCAAATCCATCGCGTATGAAAATTTCGATTACAAAAATTATTAATCAATCATTATCCGCATTATTTTATAGATTCTTATATGTGTATATATATATATATATATATATATATATATATATCTTCTCAATACCATAAACGACATATATTCTTTGAGTGTAAGCACGGAGGGTAGAGCATCAAATTGCGATATATAACTCGATATTGCTGCCATCGTTTCTCGAGAAACATCATGTCCGTTGATCTTTATTGCGCCCGAAGATAATTCAAGTCGTTTCGCCAAAGCAGCTAGGAATGTAGTTTTGCCAGCATCACTAGTGATAATTAGCAAACAAGTTATGTATCCATGAATTTAGCGTAAAATAATCACAAAGGCATATATATATATAGGATATCCCATTTTGAATGTCCCATCCTAAATAACTTTTTTATTTTTGATCTTAGAAAAAAATATAATATGATTTTTCTTGCTCAAATATGTAAATACAAATGAATAGGAAGATAGGTCAAACGCGAGCTTCAAAATAAGATGAAAGTTCATTAAGCATGTAAACTATAACATAAAAGATGTGAGAGTTTTTTATATCATTAATATATGGAACGTTTTGACTTAGTCATCTTCAGCCATTTAAATATATATAATATATAATTAGAGAAATTGTATAAGATTAAAACACACACACACATATAGAAAAAAATGTTTCAGACAAAAGTCTGAAGATAACTTTGAGAGAGATATAAGATGGTGTCATTAATTTGACCTTGAATAGTTGCTTGAATAGTTAAATTCAGGAACATGTCCTGAATAATATTCGTTAAGATCAAAGTCATGGAGATTGCTTCTTTTATTTTCATTTTTGTATCGAGAATTCATTTTTACGTAAAAATGAAAATAGAACATAGAAATGAAGAAGAATAACCTCTAATGACCTTGATCTTGACAAAAATAAAAGTTATTTGGGGTGGGACATTAAAATGAGACACCCTGTATACATATCGTATTTTGCCATACCTCGGTCCTAATATAGCAAACATGTTACCAGTCTCTGCATATCCGGATACTTTATTATACAAAAGAAGCGTTATTAATAAATAAAGATAATGCTATTTGTTATAAACTGATAAGTCATAGATCATTGAACGATCGACGACTGATTAAATCTATAACAACTTCATTTTTCATTGTGTTTCGATATTGACAAACAAAGAAAATTACCCCCTTTTAGTATATTCAATACTTTTACAGGTTTTCTACACAAAAGTTTGCACCACTTTCTCGAGCACAATTTTCTCGAGCACTCGTCATCTTTGGTAAGCACAGTAACGATTAAGTTTTCCCAGAAAAGTTGAGAAAATTGAGAAGTCGTCTCAACCGAATCTGCTAGCTTCACCATCTCAACCGTGACTATTTATGTCACGTCTTTAGAAGTTTGTTGATATCGCGAGTCTCTTGAAACTCGTCTCAGACAAGTCTCGGACAAATGTCGCTATCTCCGTTCTCTATTCCTTAACATTTCTTATCATTGTTATCTAATATTATATAGATGTTATAAATCAAGCAAATAATTAGATTCTACTAATTATGAATTGCTTTTCTATTATTCCTACAATTTCAGAAGTCGTAGATGCTTTCATAGGGTTCGATGTGATAAAAAGCGCAGCACTGAATGTAGTAAATATTATGAAGAAGGAGAATATATATCAATAATAAAATGATGCGTATGAAGAAAAAAGGAGATTCAATAATCTGATATAAACAAATTTAATATATAGTTAATTATTGTTTTGTAATTATGTTTTGTATCTATATAAAAACAGTTAAAAGGCAGGAATGTTGCTTATTACGATTAGATAATAATAGTATATTAAATATATTATAATGCTTCGGAAATAATATGTAATATATGAATATATATATTTCTACAATTTTTTCTGGAATAACGATACACGCCGCGTTACAAATCATATTATATAAAAGTGCAAATGCGAACACATCGCCTGAAAGGTGAAGATCATTAATATAAAATCTGAGTTATTTACAATGTATACATGTATGTATGTGTGTGTATATATATATGTATGTATATGTAATATATGTAACTCTCGATATATTAATTATCTTTACTTATTAATACACATATTCTGTACGTAGATCTATATCCAGAACATTACATGTGTCTCTCCATCTTTTTTTTGGCTCTAGAAGCAATATATATACTATAAAGATTATTTTTCATTTTTCATCTTGACTTCAGTTCAAATATCGCAATGCTACTGATGAATATATCTTAAATGCGTATTATGTAAAACGGTCTTTTTAATTACAACCAGCTGTTTTGTATAACTAGTTGTGATTGTGCGAACAAAGGCACAACGTTGTTAATTGTTGATAATTGAATTTGATTGATAAAATAAAAGCGAAATGGAGATATAGATAGGAAGCGCATTATTGTAAATCTAATGAGAAAAAGACCAAAATTGTCTTGCTTTTATCGAATTCGTAGTATGTATATATATATGTGTTAAATTTAATTATCGAGTAATAATAAATAGTATTACGCTCTTTACGACACATACGTATAAAATTCCTAATTCTCCCTATTGATGATGCTAGAAGCAGAATTGTATAAACGATAGTTATTGACATGATTTTTGACGGACAGAGAAAACAATGTACATATAAATTTTCTAATTGAATTATAATAATTTAACATTTAAATACAGGTGTCAATCAATTAAAAAAGGATGTACATTGGTAATATTGTCAAAGTTATTATGTCATTTTTCAAAATTTTCCTTATACGAATATTAAAAAATTTGTTTAGCTACTATCATTAAATATGACTTTCTCATGTTGTATGTAAAAAATGATTTGGATTGATAAAATAATTTCCATGCATTATACAAGATGGAGAATAAGCAGATGCTTCCTATTATGGAGAAGAGTAAGGCATTTAAAAAATTATGATTCTCATGGCATCTACGAAGACACATTGAGGTTGACGAATGGAAAATCGTGACTGAAAATTCGAATTTGTGAACGATTTGCCTATTCGTCAGCAACTGCAAGATTTTTTGGAACTTGTTGGCGATTGATTCAATGTAAATCTCTCGTTGTCCGTTTGATCTTGGACGCCATTGTCTCTTATAACCTGATCATTTTGGAGTATCTGAAATAAACATTTTACATACATTTATTAATAATAGTCATAATTATTATATATTAATACACGTGTCATAACGCCCAAAACATTAAGTGAAGCAATAATAGCGATCGTTCAATATCCAGATGTTGATTGATTTCATGTCGATTAATTATGCATCATAAGTCGATCATTTCTAGGGCGAAAGACGTCAATGATTAATCCGTCGTACGTCACGCATAAGCAATAGACAAGCCATTGTATGATACATATCAATATCTAATATAAATAATAATACTTTCAAGTTAGAATTATTTACGTATCGTATAATGCATTTTTCAGATCTCTTAAAAATGCATTATACGATATGTAAATAATTCTAATTCAATACCGATTTATTCCATGATAAATGCTCTACTTTTATATACTTGTCGTAATTGAATATGAAAGAAAAGTAATGTGAAAAATCTCTTACTTTGTTAACGAGAAATTTGGCTGCTTCTTCTATGTTAATGTTTTCCTTCGCTGAGGTTTCAAACCAACCAGAGAAGTTTTTTTCTTTACAGTATTCGTCCATCTTAGCGGGCGAGTTAATCAAACCTTCCTTCTGCTGATCGCATTTGTTCGCCAATAGAACGCACGGTATCGATGATCCGTCAGGAAGTTGCACTTTTGAATCCAAGTCCTGTTTCCATTTCACCACTGCATCCAGCGTCGCGCTTCTTGTCACGTCGAATACTATGAAAGCACCTACGGCTTCCTTGTAATAAACTCTGGTCATGTTCCCGAATCTTTCTTGACCTAAACAGACCATAAAAGATCAGTTATAGAATTTACACAGGATATTCCACGAGACTTTTACCAAGCGCTTTTTTATAGATAGATTGGACTAAACTGAATTGAAAAGTCCACTACCATTTTGCAATTTTCACAATAGTTAACAAAATATATAATATTGATTACTAAAAATTGCCGAATATTGGTCTTTAATAACTTTTTTACTCAAACATTATCAACTTTATTTATTCAAAATTTTTTAATACCGTATTTTCTCATGTTAGTATAATCTGCGTAATAACAACTTGGTTGATTAAATTAAGTTATTAATTAAAAAATTTTAGAAGTATTTAAAATATCTAAGACATTTCTCAAGTGACGTTAATAAATAAGAAAGGAGAAATATCAAGCATATTATAGTTTATCTGTCGCACGAGTATTGTTCCATTATTAGCATCAAAAGAGAAAAGTTGAAACATTGTGTGTTACTATTGACCTGCGATATCCCATAATTGTAGTCTGATGATGGTGTGGGGATCCCAGTTGAGTACTTTGAGCGCGAAGTCGACGCCAATCGTCGCGCGATAATGTTGGGAGAAGAATTGATGTACGTATCGTTTAATGATAGATGTTTTCCCCGCCCCAAGCTCGCCGATTACTAATATTTTGTATAAATGCTCCCGTTTCTCGCTTACGCCGAGGTTTGATGCATTGTTCGACGACTGAAATAATAAAAGAATAGATAATCAACATTTAAGTACAGGACATTTTCTCTAGGTTAAACAATAGTGTTTTCAAGATATTATCCAGTTGGGAAAACATCGCTTTCTATTTTCATAAGTAACGTATTAACTTGGTAAATAATATAGCTGACGGCTCTAAATATGTTTTTAATTCTAAAGTAGGAAGAAAAAACATGTACATGTAATCACAAAATAATTTGATAATTATCATCACTTGTATAAATACGGAGGAATACAAATTAAATCATTTTTTAGAAACGCAAACACTTGCAAACGGACCCCGAGCCACTTCCATTCTTTCGGTTGCACCTTCCACTTGCTGATATCGAATATTTCTAAATTTCGCCAAATTTTTAATTCCACGTCCATATTCATGCACGACCTTTTAAATGCCTTCTACGCTCCTAAGAGACTGAAGATAATTACGCCTCACGAATGATCTTGCTGCCGCAGCTCGCGTGAGCGAAATGAACAGAGAAACTTGTATGTGAGAGAATTATCCCCGACTACAGTCGAGGGGGAGTGCAGAACTATAAATACAATAATAAGCCTTTCTCGTCTTAATGAATGCATGAAGCGATCTAAATAATCGCCATCGAATTTCAAGAGTCATCAACGGCGACGAATCATAAAAGAAAAAAAGAAATTTCTATTTTGATTACATTGATAAATTTTCGAAACAAGGATTATATTTCAATTCGGTTCTCCCGATTTCAATCAACTTGTTATTTATACACGCATTTTTCCTCTTAAACGTAGACGCGATAGAACTCGTGAAACCGCGTAATTCGAAACTCTGTAACGAGGGCACGAGAGAGATCCAAAGAGGCAGAAATACAAAGCGGATCGGTATCAGAAAGGTACCGCAAACGCGTATCGCAGCGTGTGACTGGATTAGTCGTAGAACCTCGACAATTTTCTCGCGTCCAATTTTGGAGTATTAGTTCGGTTCACGTCAACAACTTTGCACGAATGTATACAAATATTGTAAATTGTTCGGTCTTAGGATTTTTAAAGCTTCCTTCAGGATTTTATAAAAGAGACTACTTGAAAATAATTTTTCAATTTTAAGCCGGCTCTTTCTCTTATCATGTCTAATTAAAGTTTCGCTGATTGCGGCTGCAAACGCATTAATATGGAATAAATAAGACTACTTATCGTGTTTCAAACACACAACGAAGCTATATTACACAAGCGTATATAATACAGATTTTGTCGTATTTCACAATTTAATAGGAAGTTTTTGCAATAACGTAAATCCAGATTCGCTAAAGTCACGTTGTCCTTTTCTTAATTAATCGTTAAGAAGAAGATAACCTGATTTTAACAAAATTCACCATATCTGGATAAATGATATTGCAAAAACTCTCTAATATTACTCAATCTTGTAAAATGTCGAACGTTGTAACGTTAACGGAAGGCAATTCTATCACTCCGTAAAGATGTAAAAAAAAAACGATATTTTTTTACTTCGGAGAAAAGTATCAAATAAAAAGACTTTGGTTGTTTTTTTACTGTAAATAACAAAATTTTTGACCAAATTACATAAAATTCATGAAAAAACATATAGTTATTTCAATATAATTAATTGAACGACAGATATTTTATATTTAAAAGCTAAATAAGTGATGTTGTTAATACAGATAATACTTTATAAGCATAATAGACACTATTTTGTTGTATATTTGTTATAATTATACTCTATATTTTAATTATTTCGTATTCCATGTTTTAATTATTTTGAGAGAACATCCCGATATAATATTGACTACAGAGTAATTAGAGATTCAATGAACGTTGTCTAATTTAAATTTAGAATATGTATAATTATAATCACACAGTACAATTACAATCAAAACAGTATCAATTAGTTTAGTAAAGTACGATTTGTATTAATAACAGTGTGGAACATTTACTTAACTTTTAAAATTGAAGTACAGTATAAAATATTATTCAGATAACAATGAAAAGTAAGGTATATTTATGGCCAACCGGCATTATATTATACATTTTAACTTTTGTAATTATTTTTACACAACAATCTTACGGATAAATGCGAAAAAGACCATTATTTCCCGAGTTTTTTATCCTAAAATTCTAGAATTTTTTCATCGTTTACATCTCTAATCACTCCTACCCGATGGATCTCACCTCATCCATGGTTCCATGGGTGTTGAGCATGGGTGCCATGGTAGCGTAAAGTCTATGATAATTGCTGCTTGTATCGCTGTAATCCTCCGAAAAATCCTCCTCGTCGAGAGTGTTACCGAAAGTGGAGAACGTGTCAAAGGTCTTCACACTGATATGCCGCACTTTTTTCTTTCTTTCTTCTTCCCCTTGTTGAAGAAACTCGTTGTTATTGGTGCTCGATAGATCGTCACGGGCGTCGATTACTGTCTCATTTGAGCACGTTATGTCTTTGGATCTCGAATCAAAGAAGCGTCGCTGAAATATCGCTCGTTTCTCTTCCAACAATGATAGCTTACGGCGAACGTCGACGGGCGACGATGTCGACGGTACATATTCCGAGGAATCTGAATCGTATTTCGTTTTCACTTTGCCTTTCCTGGCCACCGGATCCTCCGCGAGTTTCGTTTTACTAGACTCCGACCATTTCGACAACGAATATGGAAGCGTCGAGACGCAAAGCGAGGCGTTATCTTGATTAGCCTGTTGCGAATGTGCAGTGTCTAAAGAAATTTGAAGGTGTGTGACTTAAGAGAGAAACGAGAATACGTTTACGCTCGATTTTTCAAAATCTTAAATAGCTTTCAGCGATTACATTCGTGTTGCTATGTATAATGTTTTGTTATGATTACAAATATTGTGCAGTTCCAACAAATGCTTTATCGCGAGCAAATCGAATATAAGATAAGATAGGCAACAAAAGTGACAGGAAAAAAAGAAAAGAAAATTTAGAGGGATGTACTGCGATTTTTATAAATAAAATCGAAATATATGTATACATATTTATTAAAAATGTACACACGTATCTCTAGATTTTACTTTTCAAAAACCATAAATGTAACTCCCCCTGAAACTTATTTCTTAAATCAAAATGGCTTATTGCCAAGAAGCGTATATCGTGGAATATTTCGTCTTTTTAGTTTCGTGCAGAAACATTCTGTATCTGCGATCAATAGCATCCTCACCCTGTTGAACGGTTTCCGCAAAGCTCTTGATGGTCAGCGTCGGCGATTTGCGTAGCACAGCGCTGACAGTCTTCGGTTTCTCGAGTACCTTTTCTGGTTTCTTAAGCTCCTCTTTTATCCCCTTTTCCTTTTCTATGGCGTCATCGTTTTCTTTTTTTGTGGCGCTAATATATGTATGAACGGGTGACTCTTGCGAGGACTGGCTTTGCGAACGGCTGTTACCACCCTCTGGGGTATGTCGTTGTCCTTGCTGTTCCAAGGACATGCGAAATTTATTCAAGCTCAGCTTGCGTACCAGCGAGTGTGACTTCTTTTTCTTTTTCTTTAAAGTTGCGCTCGAAAGCACATCGGTCATCAATTTCGGCTCTTTCTCGTCTTCGAGCCGTTGCGATCGCTGCTGAGATGCCTCTGAAGTGGAAAAGAATCGCGAGTCAGGCAAATAGCCGCTCGAGAACTATCCTTTTTAGATATGAAAATAAATGCGTTATTTCAATTTTATAATTAATAATTCCAATTTTGTAATTAATGTGATTGAAGAAAAATCAAGAAACCAGAGATTAAAAGGCTCGAAAAGTAGAAAAAAAAAAGAACATTTGAATAATAATAAATAACTTCGTCGGTTATTATTTATCTCACGGATGAGAGAAGCGCAAAGTTCATCAAACACGTCATGATTAACCTTTATCATGTTGTTCTGTTTCAAAGGAGGAGGACACGTCGATTCCGCGTGTCTTCTTCTTGATTTTGAATAAGCTTCCCTCGCGGAAGCTGCTCTTGAACGCGTCGAATTTGCTCCTCTTTCGATCGTTCGCGTTGGCGCTGGAAGAAAGAATCGCGACGCTGCCACTGGTCAGAGTGTCGAGACTGGAACTGCTGTCACCCACAGTGATGTACTCGCCGGAGGTGCTGGCCACAATTGACTTCTGCTTCTCCTCCTCCTCCGAGGAGAACGCGACCACCGTGTCGGGCGAGCTGCCACCCTCGTTCGTGCTCTCGTTGCGATCCATAATGTTTACGAGAGGAAAGGAAAACGTGGAAAATCCGCGTGACAATATAAAAAATAGAACGAATAAACGGACGGATGGACGGACGGATGGATGGATGGATGGAGGAAAGGGATGATGAGTCGAGGAACCAATTTTTTATTTCCCTGTACGAACGTTTTCCGTCTCACTTCGCTCGTAGAATATTATTTGGCTTCTCAGCCAAACGTTGAGAAACCTTAAAATTTCACCCTGGGTTCGATCAGCCCCGAACGGATAATTCATTTAACCCTCTTCTCTTTTTCTTTGCACGCACACAAGTTTCCTTTTCGCAAACAGTCAAACGACTGAGGAGAAAACTGAGGACCGAAAAATAACTTTGGCCGATAACGATCGGAGGGGTTTCTTACTTTGGTAACTGCTAATTGTCTATCGAGGCGCAATAGCATTCAGGTCTATAGAATTTAAAAGATAAACCGGAGGCTAGTTTATTCTTTTTGTGCTTTTGTAAAATGGACAGGCGTTTCTGGATTGATAAATAAGGTAAGTAAAGGAAAGAATGTTAGATAATTTCAGGAAATTCGGAACCGTAGTACAATTATTTCGCACAAACACTGAATAAACAGTATTCCTCCAGAAATTTTCACAATGCACTACATCGACACGCAGACACCATCTCGTAAAACACTAATAAAATTTCAAAAAGCATGATATTCATAGTCAATGATGAACGCGAACGAAGAAAGATGAATAATATTAAATAAAAAAATAAAAAAATTATATGACTGCAGAAACTGCAGACTCAACGACGTCTTAAACTGCACTAGATGTTGATATAAAAATATGAGAAGCTAATGGAGGTGGGGCATGCAAGTCTCCCACTACGTCAGTCGACTATGTACCGGTCTCATATTCTTTTCAGTATGAAGAATACACATGTACGTTTGTGTGGACGTAAACCGTATGCACCTTTGCAATAATCCTATCTTTAAATATCAATCTAATAATAATATAGGAAAAAACGGGGCATCATGAGTCATCGATTGTTTAACATCATCTAGAATGTTTAAATTAATACTGTTCTGGTACAATACAACTGTTACTTCATTGTCCATCATTTTTATCTAAGTGGCAGTGATTAAATTCCATTCTGTCAAAAAGCATCGATCATTAATGATTTTCGTGGTATAATAGTAACTTTTTAACTGTATAAAAATGTTTTAATATTGTTTTTGCAGTAGAATATACGTATGAAGATAAGGTGCAAGTTTTTGCGCATCTTTTCTCATCTTATTACGTTACAAATAATAATCTAACATTTATTTTTTATCGTATTTTCTATTAAATGTATTGGGGTATCATGGATATTAAGTATTCATGAAGAAGCGGAACAATACAGAAATTATATATATATATATACTTTTAAGGAATTAATTTCATTTTATTGTAATAAATTTTTTATCTTATTGTATATTAATGGTTATTTCTTATTTGTTTTGTGCGGTGGTTTTTTTATGCTCTTCTTTTCATACGTTTTGAATCATAAACCACGTTCATTTTTATGATGTATTTCAATATAGAAAATTATAATATTATTATATTATTTTTTGACCAAAAAACAAAAAAAAACAAAAAAATAATAACTCACAATGTCACGACTATTTCCATCTGTGCAAAGGATGTACTTGAGCTTTATCATTATATTTTTTTGCTGTAAAACAGAATCTGGAAATTCTCGTTCTACACTTTTCGTGATATGACAATTGGCGGTGTAACATTATTGTACGAGGCACCTTCACATATGAAAGAACACGTTTATATATAATTATATCATACGACGGTTGAATTTATTGTCAGCTATATGTAACTCTGCGTTTTAAGAATATTGTGAATTTACTGAGGATGGCCAGATTGTGGCCGAAACGTCTAATGTTTTAATTAATGTAATGAGAATTAAATATCACAAACTATAACTTGTGCGGTGGTTTTTTATGCTCTTCTTTTCATACGTTTTCTATATTATATTATTTGATAACTATGTTGTAATTATATTTTATTGTATTAGTAACCATAAAAATATGTAAATTAATTGAAAATATTTTTCAACTTTCGTCACCGTTATTTCTTGCATAATTCTATTATTTTGTGTGTGACTTATGGTACCCCAGGTATGGATCATTTCTTAAAATATATATTCTTATTTTTTCTTAAAAACTAATAAATATTTACTAAATGTACTTATTAAATTTCGAAATATACATTATGTTTTCATTATTAAAAAAAAAATGATACAAAAATTTTTATAATATTACTTTAAAATCCGAAGCGCCATTACGGTCTGAGTATTGAGATGTTGAACTAATATATATATTTTCAAACGAATGAATTAATTTCAGAAATGATAATTACGTGCCGGTTGTCGGCATTAAACGCAATTGATCTGAAATATTAATAATCCCCCCAAATTTCCCAAATTAATCTTATAAAGCTGTAATAAACTTATTGCGAAAAAAATTTTTATATTTAGATATACTTTTAAGAGTTTTAATTTTTGTGATTCACGTTTCGGATTCATGTGAATCCTATCGATAAGAGTGTGTGACTTCCTCGACTCCGTGTAGACTTTATTACGCGTAATAGAGACCTTATATTATATCAAGTCTAGGATTCGATTGATAAACACAAATAACGCAAACGCAAACGAGTTATTTGAAATATTATACGTTGCATAACGAAATGGTACCCACGAGTTTCATCATCTTTTACGAGTCCATCAAAAATATTCAAATTTTCGGTCGGTCGTTCAAGATCGTTTAAAACTTCTAGTCTTACACACACATACACACAAACACACCCCGGTATGCCGATATATCGAATAAAATCTAATTACTCGCGGTACTTTGATCCGAAAAGTTGGAGATCGTCTGTTTCCGATTCTAATTTCTGATTTTAATGCGACGTGATGTGCGTTGCAATGATTTATAAAGCATTCGATAGAATTCGCGTGTCTCACAGCCTGTGAGTCACAGGCTCTCTCTATTTGATTCTTTGATTAAGCCAGTCTTTATGCCGTTATTCTAACAATTAATTAGCGGTGATGGATCAGCCGCTGATAAGGAAATAATGCGATAATGCAGCTCTAATGCAAAGATTAGAGCAAATCTTTTTAGTTTATAATCTTAATTAGCTGCGCGTGATTAGGCGCGCATTGTCAATTCATTTGTTTTTCTTTTGCTTCGTTATGCTGTGCATCTCGATATTATTACTTAATTGCTACGTTAATCTTATAAAAAATGATGATTACAATAACAGATGTTCAAGCTTCATTCTTTATTTTAACAGATATTACAATATACAATATACATAAAACTATATTAATCAGAATCTGAATTAATTATTATTAATGTAACAATAAAATTAATTTTAATTTATTATTATTATCTGAATTTCAGACAAGTATTATATTTCGCTCGTATCGAATTTCCTGCAATAATAACATTAACTTTACATTAACTTATCTGCTTGTGTGCATTAAATAAATATTAAATTAAGGAAATCATTAGCAGTTAATGTATAATGAATGAATGTGTTTACAATATAAAGATTTTGAACAATTCCGAAAATACGATGAAGATCGTTAAGCGATTTCTCGAATCGTGACGTTGATTCCTAGATCAACGTCGAGCATAGTTATTCTACCGAGTCATTACTTATATTATTACATTGTACATATATACGCAGAATGAACGCGAGTTTCAATTTCTTTCTATAGAAAGTGCGTACAAAGAAATACGTGTGTGACGGTCGTTGCACGGCAAGACTCACAAACCGACGGTATAGAATGACACGCAGGGGAGAGAAGTTGCAGGACATGTTGACCAACAATCTCAGGTATTCATGACGTCCTTATACTCGCAACAGACTTATATCATGCGAAAAACACACTCTTTTACAAAAAAAAAAAAAAACCAGAGAATGAAGGGACATTTAGAGAAAGAAAATCTTGTCAATTCTTCCTTAAGGTTATAATTCTTTTTCTACATAATTTCCACATTATATCTATACATTTGACGTGCTTAATCAGCATTTGAATTCGATTTCACGTTGATAACAAAACATAGAGTTATATAACTGAGATTTAAGTTATAGACCACGCAGCATTAAATGATTTTCATCTTAGAAATGACTGTAAATTCTGATAAAATCGAGTAAGCAAAGTTTTTTTCTAAAAGGTCTTTTTTACTTTCTTTTATATTCGCGAATATCTTTCGCAATATCAAATCAGAAAATAAAACGGACGTAGGTAAAAACTGAGGGATATAAATCAACGATACTGTTCATAAGAAATAAAATAGTTTTCTGTAGCACGCACACGATTCGTGTAAAGAACGCTAGCAGGAAGAAGCCACTTCCCATCAACGTAACGTATTACGTCAGGGGTAAAATCGACGTTCCGGTAGTTTGTGACGAATTATACATCTAATCTAATTGTAACGTCCTATACACAACCAAAGACAGATCTCATTGCGATAATAGCGTTCCAGCCAAGTAAGCCGGTGAAAGTACCTCTCGATAACTATACTAACTTACGGCGGAGAAAAGATGTATCTGACACAACGAGGGCAACGTTTTCGTGAGAAATCGCGTTACGAATACGCGTTTGTCGAGGTGTCCAGAAGTCGCACAGTCGACAGTGAAAGGGGCTTTTTAATAAACGCGATTTAACAACGCGGTTCACGCGCGAATCATGAAACGCAACTTTAAAACTTTACACGACTCGCACGTGGCACGAGGAGAAATCAGACCCACCTTTCTCACGGCTCTGGCTGCCTTCTGTTTGCAATTCTCGCTGAAATTCATGTTAAGATCGAGGTACAGGTGATTATTGTTCATCAAAAGCGCGGGCGGCTCCATCGGCGGTGGATTCGCTTCCTTTTTATGCCTCAAACGCCTCTCGGTTCTTTCCTGCCTCGTGCGCAGCACAAGCACCACGTTTCGGTCCAGCATATTTAATTCAATCCAAGAATCCCTCAACCGGAGACTCCCACAGATTTATTTACCCTTCCGTAACACGCACGACGCCCGATTTGGATTCTTCGTAAACACTGCACCACGAATCTTAGCCACTGCGTAGCCAACTATTATGACACAGTAATGTTTCTGAGACCATTTCGCAGAAGAAATGGCGGCAAAAGAAAAGTACTAGACACGATGTGTCCAAATGTCTTTCGCTATCGCGACGACATATCTATATGCGTCGTATTGCGTCCCAATTTGTAATCGTAAAGATAATTATACGATCTCTAGTTGTCGCGCTTCTTCTATTTTTTTTTTCCCCCGCTATTTTAACGAAACGTCGAAAACTTCTCGTGATTTCGTGATGATGCAACGCGATTGAGTAGGAATTTATGAATCGTGGCCGTAAAGGAACGATCGTAACGGACAATGTGCGCCAGATGAGTGCAAAGTCTCAGCATTTATTGGTTCGGATTAGCCCGAATGTTATCGTCTGCCATGTTATCAGAGCGAGCGAGGCGCCTACAAAAAAGTGCTAGGCGCCTCGCAAGCGTGATCGTTTTTCGATACACATGTATGAAATGAAGTAAAGGGGAGGAAAAGAAGGAGAAGAAGACGTCACGAAGAAGAAGATGAAGAGGACTGCGACAGGCGACTGGACCATAGTTCACAGAGTTCATCGACCTCCAAAAATCTAC